CCCCGGGTTCTGGTTGCTCCGCCGGGTTCTGGTTGCTCCGCCGGGTTCTGGTTGTGGTTGCTCCGCCTGGTTCTGGTTGCTCCGCCTGGTTCTGGTTGCTCCGCCGGGTTCTGGTTCTGGTTGCTCCGCCTGGTTCTGGTTGCTCCGCCGGGTTCTGGTTGCTCCGCCTGGTTCTGGTTGCTCCGCCGGGTTCTGGTTGCTCCGCCGGGTTGTGGTTGCTCCGCCTGGTTCTGGTTGCTCCGCCGGGTTCTGGTTGCTCCGCCTGGTTCTGGTTGCTCCGCCTGGTTCTGGTTGCTCCGCCGGGTTCTGGTTGCTCCGCCTGGTTCTGGTTGCTCCGCCTGGTTCTGGTTGTTCCGCCGGGTTCTGATTGTGGTTCCTGTCAGCAGACTGAGACGAGTCCTTTACCAGCTCCCCGCTGTCTGATCAGTGCGGATGATCATGGACGCAGCGAGTCGGAGCCTGCAGAAAGTCTGCAGGAAGCTTTGGACCTGAAATCCTCCTGGTTGTTCAGCTGCTTTGAAACAGAAAACTTTCAGAGATTCCTTCAGGATTTAGATTCTTTAGATTCTGAAGAAGCTGGACAGACGGAGCAGGCAGACACTGGGGGGGGGGGGGGGGGGGGGGGGGGGGTCTGCTAGGAACGTCTGCTGGAGCCCTCGGTCAGCAATGTTTAACTTCTGCCTCCACTGTCGACGCTGCCGCCCAGAGGTGTGGCTGGAAGGTCTGCGGCGCCTGTAACCATGACGATTTAGTCATGGTTACAGGCGCCTGCAGTAAGGGATGCCTGCAGAGTCCCAGCTGGCTGGGGAACTCCTGCGGCATCATGAGGCCAAGCGTGACCGGCAGCAGGAAGTGAGGATGAGGGTCAGCTCCTCCAAGTCTGATGGTTCTGGTTCTGGTTCTGGTCCAGAGAAAGGAGGCCCATCCCTTTCAGGTTAGATCAGAGTTCCTGCCTCCAGTGGAGGAGTTCCAGTATCCTGGGCCCCTGTCCCTCAGAGAGGTGGAGATCTATAGACGGATCTTTGCTGCTGCTATAATCCAGACGCTGCTCCGCCTGCTGTGGATCAGAGAGCTGAGAGAAAAGGCAAAGCTCTGATTCAGCGCTCGCTCTACCTTCCTTCCCTCACCTACCGTCATTAATCTGGATCAGGACCCAGAGAACCAGATCCTGGATCCCAGCTTCCTCTGCAGGGAGGCTGGGCTCTCCCTCAGAGAGGGGGAGGAGCTGGGTCATCAGGGGGAGGATCAGGCATCTTTATCTAATGGACGCCTCCCTCTGAGGAGATCCTGGGATGTCCCACCAGGAGGAGGACCAGGACCATGGAGGGACTGTGTCTCTCTGCTGGACGGGGGGGTCTGGCAGTCTCTGCTTAAGCTTATATATGCAAATAGAAGTTGACTTTTAATCATAAACTGATTGATCTGTTCAGACATTGGATTATTAAAACAAAGATGGCGGATAGTTTTTCAATGACCAGAGAGAAGGGGGAGGATCTTCTAGTTCTTCCAGCCTTCTGTTTGTCCATCTCACACCTGAGATCCACAGAGTTTAGACGACCCCTTCAGGTTTGATGATGGTGATGATGATGATGATGATGGTGATGATGATGAAGGGGTCCCTATGGTTTGTATCTGATGCTGGGAAAGGTGTGAGGAACATAGATGCAGCTTAGAGCTGAACGGCTGCAGAAACTTGTTCACCTCGGTGTTTGTGGACCAGAGGAGGTTCTGCTGGTGAGCCCGACACCGATTGGTTGGAATGTGTGATGTCATACGGTAAGGGTCAGGGGTCTGATGATTAGCAAACAATAAGCCGCTTGCTTTCTAACAGCGGCAGGGCGCCATCTTTAACCTGAAAAGATGGCGCCCTGAGCTAGCCACCAGGAGCCATGCTGCCCCCTGGTGGCAGAACCGTGCCACTGCAGGGTAGAGGTCCAGTGTGGCCCCCAGAGGGGAGGTGTTTCTCCACAGCCTGACTTCCCCCCCCCTTCTGTGACCACAGGAACCTGGGGAAGAACGGCGTGTCCACCAGCAGCGTCCTCTTGGACAGGTGCCCCCCGCCCCGGCCGCCTGGCCCCCCCTCCCCCCCTCTGCCAAAGGACAAACTCAACCCCCCGACGCCCAGCATCTATGTGAGTGCAGACCGATGGTGTGTTCAGGTTCCTGCTGCAGGGCCTCTGACCCCCCCTGCTGTCTGCTTTGTGCCCTGCAGCTTGAAAACAAGAGGGACGCTTTCTTCCCCCCCCTCCATCAGTTCTGCACCAGCCCCGCCAACCCGGTGACGGTCATCAGGGGGCTGGCTGGAGCCCTGAAGCTGGGTGAGTGAACAGCAGCGCCACCTGCAGGTGGACCACAGCGTCTGAATTTATCCTTAAAATTAATTTAAAAGTATGGAGAAAAAAAGCTGATGGCTTTAAAATAAAAAAAAATAAATCCTCCCTGGAGACACGGTGGTGGCTTCATCATACTGTGGGCTGCAGACGGATCTGTTGACCTTTTGACCCCCCCCACAGACCTGGGCCTGTTCTCCACCAAGACGCTGGTGGAGGCCAACCCGGAGCACCTGGTGGAGGTGCGCACCCAGCTGGCTCAGCCCACCGATGAGAACTGGGACCCCAGCGGGACCCGGAAGCTGTGGCGCTGCGAGAGCAGCCGCTCCCATACCACCATCCTGAAGTACGCCCAGTACCAGGCCTCGTCCTTCCAGGAGTCCCTGAAGGTCACACGCCTCCTCCATCTTTACTCCATCCTGCTGCTCAGGGTTTATAAAACTGACCTTCATCTTCCAACAGGAGGAGAATGAGAAGAAGAAGGAGGTGGAAGCAGAGTCTGGTTCATCCGACAGGTGAACCCTTCTTCATCATCAGCTCCTCCTCTTCCTCCTTTGCTACTCTAACATCCTCTGCTGCTCCTTCCTGAACTTCCTGCTCATTGATCCACCAACTTCAGAGTTTAGATCCAAAATCTGCAGGTTTATCCCAACATCTCTGAGATTCAGCATTTCCAGTTTGTCCTAAATCACTGACCTCCGGGGTCCCTGAATCACACACATCCTTCCCTGTTTCCTTTCTTCCTTGTTTCCTTCCATCCTTCCTTGTTTCCTTTCTCCCTTGTTTCCTTCCATCCTTCCTTGTTTCCTTCCTTCCTCCCTTGTTTCCTTCCATCCTTCCTTGTTTCCTTCCATCCTTCCTTGTTTCCTTCCATCCTTCCTTGTTTCCTTCCATCCTCCCTTGTTTCCTTCTATCCTCCCTTGTTTCCTTCCATCCTCCCTTGTTTCCTTCCATCCTCCCTTGTTTCCTTCCATCCTTCCTTGTTCCCTTCCATCCTCCCTTGTTTCCTTCCATCCTCCCTTGTTTCCTTTCTTCCTTGTTTCCTTCCATCCTTCCTTGTTTCCTTCCTTCCTCCCTTGTTTCCTTCCATCCTTCCTTGTTTCCTTCCATCCTTCCTTGTTCCCTTCCATCCTCCCTTGTTTCCTTCCATCCTCCCTTGTTTCCTTCCATCCTCCCTTGTTTCCTTCCTGCCTTCTTTCTTTCCTTCCTTCCTCCCTTGTTTCCTTTCTTCCTTGTTTCCTTCCATCCTCCCTTGTTTCCTTCCATCCTCCCTTGTTTCCTTCCTTCCTCCCTTGTTTCCTTTCTTCCTTGTTTCCTTCCATCCTTCCTTGTTTCCTCTCTTCCTTGTTTCCTTCCATCCTTCCTTGTTTCCTTCCATACTTCATTGTTTCCTTCCTTCCTCCCTTGTTTCCTTTCTTCCTTGTTTCCTTCCATCCTCCCTTGTTTCCTTCCATCCTCCCTTGTTTCATTCCATCCTTCCTTTTTTCCTTCTATCCTCCCTTGTTTCCTTCCATCCTCCCTTGTTTCCTTCTATCCTCCCTTGTTTCCTTCCATCCTCCCTTATTTCATTCCATCCTTCCTTGTTTCCTTCCATCCTCCCTTGTTTCCTTTCTTCCTTGTTTCCTTCCATCCTTCCTTGTTTCCTTCCATCCTCCTTGTTTCCTTCTATCCTCCCTTGTTTCCTTCCATCCTTCCTTGTTTCCTTCCATCCTTCCTTGTTTCATTCCATCCTCCCTTGTTTCCTTCCATCCTCCCTTGTTTCATTCCATCCTTCCTTGTTTCCTTTCTTCCTTGTTTCCTTCCATCCTCCCTTGTTTCCTTCCATCCTTCCTTGTTTCCTTCCATCCTCCCTTGTTTCATTCCATCCTTCCTTGTTTCCTTCCATCCTCCCTTGTTTCATTCCATCCTTCCTTGTTTCATTCCATCCTCCCTTGTTTCATTCCATCCTCCCTTGTTTCCTTCCATCCTTCCTTGTTTCATTCCATCCTTCCTTGTTTCCTTCCATCCTCCCTTGTTTCATTCCATCCTTCCTTGTTTCCTTCCATCCTCCCTTGTTTCCTTCCATCCTCCCTTGTTTCCTTCCTGCCTTCTTTCTTTCCTTCCTTCCTCCCTTGTTTCCTTCCATCCTCCCTTGTTTCCTTCTATCCTCCCTTGTTTCCTTCCATCCTCCCTTGTTTCCTTCCATCCTCCCTTGTTTCATTCCATCCTTCCTTGTTTCCTTCCATCCTCCCTTGTTTCATTCCATCCTTCCTTGTTTCATTCCATCCTCCCTTGTTTCCTTCCATCCTCCCTTGTTTCATTCCATCCTCCCTTGTTTCCTTCCATCCTCCCTTGTTTCCTTCCATCCTCCCTTGTTTCATTCCATCCTTCCTTGTTTCCTTCCATCCTCCCTTGTTTCATTCCATCCTTCCTTGTTTCCTTCCATCCTCCCTTGTTTCCTTCCTGCCTTCTTTCTTTCCTTCCTTCCTCCCTTGTTTCCTTTCTTCCTTGTTTCCTTCCATCCTCCCTTGTTTCCTTCTATCCTCCCTTGTTTCCTTCCATCCTTCCTTGTTTCCTTCCATCCTTCCTTGTTTCATTCCATCCTTCCTTGTTTCCTTCCATCCTCCCTTGTTTCATTCCATCCTTCCTTGTTTCCTTCCATCCTCCCTTGTTTCATTCCATCCTTCCTTGTTTCATTCCATCCTCCCCTTGTTTCCTTCCATCCTCCCTTGTTTCATTCCATCCTTCCTTGTTTCATTCCATCCTCCCTTGTTTCCTTCCATCCTCCCTTGTTTCATTCCATCCTCCCTTGTTTCCTTCCATCCTCCCTTGTTTCATTCCATCCTTCCTTGTTTCCTTCCATCCTCCCTTGTTTCATTCCATCCTTCCTTGTTTCCTTCCATCCTCCCTTGTTTCCTTCCATCCTCCCTTGTTTCCTTCCTGCCTTCTTTCTTTCCTTCCTTCCTCCCTTGTTTCCTTTCTTCCTTGTTTCCTTCCATCCTCCCTTGTTTCCTTCTATCCTCCCTTGTTTCCTTCCATCCTTCCTTGTTTCCTTCCATCCTTCCTTGTTTCATTCCATCCTTCCTTGTTTCCTTCCATCCTCCCTTGTTTCATTCCATCCTTCCTTGTTTCCTTCCATCCTCCCTTGTTTCATTCCATCCTTCCTTGTTTCATTCCATCCTCCCTTGTTTCCTTCCATCCTCCCTTGTTTCATTCCATCCTCCCTTGTTTCCTTCCATCCTCCCTTGTTTCATTCCATCCTCCCTTGTTTCATTCCATCCTCCCTTGTTTCCTTCCATCCTCCCTTGTTTCATTCCATCCTTCCTTGTTTCCTTCCATCCTCCCTTGTTTCATTCCATCCTTCCTTGTTTCCTTCCATCCTCCCTTGTTTCCTTCCATCCTCCCTTGTTTCCTTCCTGCCTTCTTTCTTTCCTTCCTTCCTCCCTTGTTTCCTTTCTTCCTTGTTTCCTTCCATCCTCCCTTGTTTCCTTCTATCCTCCCTTGTTTCCTTCCATCCTTCCTTGTTTCCTTCCATCCTTCCTTGTTTCATTCCATCCTTCCTTGTTTCCTTCCATCCTCCCTTGTTTCATTCCATCCTCCCTTGTTTCCTTCCATCCTCCCTTGTTTCATTCCATCCTTCCTTGTTTCATTCCATCCTCCCTTGTTTCCTTCCATCCTCCCTTGTTTCATTCCATCCTCCCTTGTTTCCTTCCATCCTCCCTTGTTTCATTCCATCCTTCCTTGTTTCCTTCCATCCTCCCTTGTTTCATTCCATCCTTCCTTGTTTCCTTCCATCCTCCCTTGTTTCCTTCCATCCTCCCTTGTTTCCTTCCTGCCTTCTTTCTTTCCTTCCTTCCTCCCTTGTTTCCTTTCTTCCTTGTTTCCTTCCATCCTCCCTTGTTTCCTTCCATCCTTCCTTGTTTCCTTCCATCCTTCCTTGTTTCATTCCATCCTTCCTTGTTTCCTTCCATCCTCCCTTGTTTCCTTCTATCCTCCCTTGTTTCCTTCCATCCTTCCTTGTTTCCTTCCATCCTTCCTTGTTTCATTCCATCCTTCCTTGTTTCCTTCCATCCTCCATTGTTTCATTCCATCCTCCCTTGTTTCCTTCCATCCTCCCTTGTTTCATTCCATCCTTCCTTGTTTCATTCCATCCTCCCTTGTTTCCTTCCATCCTCCCTTGTTTCATTCCATCCTCCCTTGTTTCCTTCCATCCTTCCTTGTTTCATTCCATCCTTCCTTGTTTCCTTCCATCCTCCCTTGTTTCATTCCATCCTTCCTTGTTTCCTTCCATCCTCCCTTGTTTCCTTCCATCCTCCCTTGTTTCCTTCCTGCCTTCTTTCTTTCCTTCCTTCCTCCCTTGTTTCCTTCCATCCTCCCTTGTTTCCTTCTATCCTCCCTTGTTTCCTTCCATCCTCCCTTGTTTCCTTCCATCCTCCCTTGTTTCATTCCATCCTTCCTTGTTTCCTTCCATCCTCCCTTGTTTCATTCCATCCTTCCTTGTTTCATTCCATCCTCCCTTGTTTCCTTCCATCCTCCCTTGTTTCATTCCATCCTCCCTTGTTTCCTTCCATCCTCCCTTGTTTCCTTCCATCCTCCCTTGTTTCATTCCATCCTTCCTTGTTTCCTTCCATCCTCCCTTGTTTCATTCCATCCTTCCTTGTTTCCTTCCATCCTCCCTTGTTTCCTTCCTGCCTTCTTTCTTTCCTTCCTTCCTCCCTTGTTTCCTTTCTTCCTTGTTTCCTTCCATCCTCCCTTGTTTCCTTCTATCCTCCCTTGTTTCCTTCCATCCTTCCTTGTTTCCTTCCATCCTTCCTTGTTTCATTCCATCCTTCCTTGTTTCCTTCCATCCTCCCTTGTTTCATTCCATCCTTCCTTGTTTCCTTCCATCCTCCCTTGTTTCATTCCATCCTTCCTTGTTTCATTCCATCCTCCCTTGTTTCCTTCCATCCTCCCTTGTTTCATTCCATCCTTCCTTGTTTCATTCCATCCTCCCTTGTTTCCTTCCATCCTCCCTTGTTTCATTCCATCCTCCCTTGTTTCCTTCCATCCTCCCTTGTTTCATTCCATCCTTCCTTGTTTCCTTCCATCCTCCCTTGTTTCATTCCATCCTTCCTTGTTTCCTTCCATCCTCCCTTGTTTCCTTCCATCCTCCCTTGTTTCCTTCCTGCCTTCTTTCTTTCCTTCCTTCCTCCCTTGTTTCCTTTCTTCCTTGTTTCCTTCCATCCTCCATTGTTTCCTTCTATCCTCCCTTGTTTCCTTCCATCCTTCCTTGTTTCCTTCCATCCTTCCTTGTTTCATTCCATCCTTCCTTGTTTCCTTCCATCCTCCCTTGTTTCATTCCATCCTTCCTTGTTTCCTTCCATCCTCCCTTGTTTCATTCCATCCTTCCTTGTTTCATTCCATCCTCCCTTGTTTCCTTCCATCCTCCCTTGTTTCATTCCATCCTTCCTTGTTTCATTCCATCCTCCCTTGTTTCCTTCCATCCTCCCTTGTTTCATTCCATCCTCCCTTGTTTCCTTCCATCCTCCCTTGTTTCATTCCATCCTTCCTTGTTTCCTTCCATCCTCCCTTGTTTCATTCCATCCTTCCTTGTTTCCTTCCATCCTCCCTTGTTTCCTTCCATCCTCCCTTGTTTCCTTCCTGCCTTCTTTCTTTCCTTCCTTCCTCCCTTGTTTCCTTTCTTCCTTGTTTCCTTCCATCCTCCCTTGTTTCCTTCTATCCTCCCTTGTTTCCTTCCATCCTTCCTTGTTTCCTTCCATCCTTCCTTGTTTCATTCCATCCTTCCTTGTTTCCTTCCATCCTCCCTTGTTTCATTCCATCCTCCCTTGTTTCCTTCCATCCTCCCTTGTTTCATTCCATCCTTCCTTGTTTCATTCCATCCTCCCTTGTTTCCTTCCATCCTCCCTTGTTTCATTCCATCCTCCCTTGTTTCCTTCCATCCTCCCTTGTTTCATTCCATCCTTCCTTGTTTCCTTCCATCCTCCCTTGTTTCATTCCATCCTTCCTTGTTTCCTTCCATCCTCCCTTGTTTCCTTCCATCCTCCCTTGTTTCCTTCCTGCCTTCTTTCTTTCCTTCCTTCCTCCCTTGTTTCCTTTCTTCCTTGTTTCCTTCCATCCTCCCTTGTTTCTTCTTTTCTTTCTTCTCTGTTTTCTGAGGTTTCCTGTCCTCCTCTAAAGGTTAAATGAGGTCATAGGAGTGGAGAACTCTGGACAGGCGTTTCTCAGAAGGACGAATCAGAGCCCTGTTCTCCTTGCTATCATGTTTAGCATCAGAGACCTGAAGGAGCTCAGCCATTCAGCCTCGTAGCGCCTCTTTGCAAACGTCACTGGTGTAGCTTTCTGAAGGACTGGTGTGGGGACATGTGAGGGGAAAGTCCCCACCAGTAATTTCCGCTTTTCCCCTTTCTGCTGATTTCCTTCAGCCAACAGTAACTGGGCTTTTAGTGCAGCTAGCTGTGTTCAGAGCGTTTTCACTCCGTGTTTTCTCCTCTCTCTCTCGCTGCTCTCCAGTCCCTCCTCTCAGTGAAACATCATGGGATCCGTCTCTTTGGGACAATATTATTTGGGGTCATTATTCACTGCGTACAGAGGAGAGACACAGCAGCACTCAGTGAATATTAACCAGCAGCTGCTTAGATGTTTCAGTAAAAGTTAGGAGACTGGTTGGTTAAAGAATTAGAGATGCCACCGTTTGTTACATACGGAGCTTTTTCAGCTAAAAATGTCAGCAGATTGAACATTTATAGAAGTTAAAAAGCTGGTCTTCTCACAGGATACAGATTTAAATGAACACAGATCTGTTGTTTTCAGATTGAACAGAGAATCAGACCGCAGAGCTGCTAGAGATCCTGAAAATGCTTTTCTCTGGCATCATTATATCGGTAGACTGGTTCATCAATCTGATTTAAAGCAGAGCAAAGACACAGTTAGGGAGAACTGCTGATTTAAAGGGGAAACACATTTACTGGGATATGAAACATGCAATAAAATATATCTACAAGTTTAAAGAAAACCCACCCCTAGAGCGCCTCCAACAACTTTTATCACAAAGTTCCACCCTTTGCTCACGTCTCCTTGGTCTGTTTCTGTCGATGATGATGATGATGATGATGTTAGCAGCCTTCGCTCTGAAGCGGCTCTGGCTGCTAACAGCCTCGGCTGTTGTCATGACGATGCTCTCTGGTTGTTTGCAGCGGCGTCCGGCGGAGGAAAGGTCCCTTCAAGCACATCAAGTTCGGCACCAACATCGACCTCTCTGATGAGAAGAAGTGAGGAAGCATTGGTGGCAGCTAGCTAGCTAGCTGTTTGGGCCGCGCTAACGTATGCTAACGTTCTTCCAGGTGGAAACAGCAGCTGCAGGAGCTGACCAAGCTGCCGGCCTTCGCCAGGGTGGTGTCTGCTGGGAACCTGCTGAGCCACGTGGGCCACACCATCCTGGGCATGAACACCGTCCAGCTGTACATGAAGGTCCCGGGGAGCCGCACGCCAGGTGAAGCCCCCGCCGCCGAGCCCGGGTTCTCTGGCTCTGCTGCGCCGCTGCTGATCGGCTGCTCTCTGTGCTTCTGACAGGACACCAGGAAAACAACAACTTCTGCTCGGTGAACATCAACATCGGCCCCGGGGACTGCGAGTGGTTCGCCGTGCCGGAGGCCTACTGGGGCGTCATCAACCACTTCTGTGAAAAGTAAGAGGGTGGTCTGAAAGGTTCCGGCCCGCAGCTGGCTTCTAGTGAAGGCTTCTGCTGTTCCTGACAGGAACAACATCAACTTCCTGATGGGCTCATGGTGGCCCGACCTAGAGGACCTGTACCGCAGCAACATCCCGGTTTACCGCTTCATCCAGCGGCCCGGGGACCTGGTGTGGCTCAACACGGGGACCGTCCACTGGGTGCAGGCCGTCGGCTGGTGCAACAACATCGCCTGGAACGTGGGACCCCTTACAGGTGGGCGGGGGGGGGCTGAAACAGGCTGATTAATCCATTACTGAAACATTCCTCAGCTAATCGTAGATTAATGGTTCCCTATAGAGACTCTGATCCGTTCCTTTAGCCCACAGAGCGACACGCTTAGAGCAGGAAGAATATCCAGATTATAAACAAAGTAAACAAGTTGCTAATTGCTAATGACTTTAATCTGCATGTTTTCAGTTTAATATTATTGCCAGGAAGCATCATGGCTGCATCATTAACGGTTTGTCTGTTTTAGGTAGAGAAGCATAAATCAGCTGATTCTTCCTGAAAAGACGATTTTTTTCCAAGAAAAAAACAAAATCTTTATCTGTTAATCTGATCTATAATCCAGACCTCCTCAAGTGGAAAAGTTTTATTTCCAGCTGCTTTAATTTACTAAAAAGTCTTTAACCTTTTGCTATTAGATTATTATATTATTTATCAAATAATCAACAGATGGATCGATTTGCTAAATAATCGTAGTTTCAGCTCTAGTCTCACCAACCCCCCCCCCCCCCACACACACACACTTCTGGCACTGAGTCAATGTTCCCTGGACTAAAGCCTGGATCCAGCCCCTGAAGCATGATGCAGCCTCCACCGTGCTTCGCTGTGGGTTCCAGCAGCTGACCTTCCTGCCAATGCTGGGATGGTTTCCTGTCCTCCTGCTGGTTCTGGAGGACCTGCAGGTCTGTGATGGAGGACAGCTGAGGCGCCATCTCTGGGATTCTGACATAATTTCAATCATATTTCAGGCGTCGTATGCAGGAGTTTGCTCTGCTATCAGAGCAAACTCCTGCATCCGACGCCTGAAATATAGCAGAGGGTTGTCGGTTCAAAGCCCCGGCTCCGCTCCAGCTTTCAGTGTCGTTTTGTCCTTGGGCAAGGCACATTCCTAATGATGGTGGCGCCAGCGTACGGCGGCGGGCCCAGGGCGGCGGCGGCCCCCAAGGCAGCTCCCCACCATCAGTGAACAGGGAGCAGAAATATCTTTTTATTTCCAAACTGGATTCTTTTAGTTTCTCTTCACTTCTTTGCTGAAGGAACGTTTCTGTTCAAAGTGTTTGTTTCAGGCTGGAAGAGACGATGAAATATGAACAAAAATAAAAATATTAAAACACTAAAATCCTTTTTATGTGGCAGTTTTTCAAAGTTAAACGTCTGACGACATTTTTCCAAATTCCCAGAACTTCTTTCACTTTCTCCAGTAATCGTTCTCTGCGTAGCTTCCTGCGTGCAGCGACGGATGGAAAACCATCTGATGATTTTATGGGCTGGTTTAAAAGGCGTCCCCCCCCCCTCGTAACGCTGCTCTCCGTCTGTCTGTCTGCAGCCCATCAGTACCGGCTGGCCGTGGAGCGCTACGAGTGGAATAAGCTGCAGAGCATCAAGTCCATCGTCCCCATGGTCCACCTCTCCTGGAACATGGCCAGGAACATCAAAGTGTCGGACCACAGGCTGTTTGAGATGATCAAGTGAGGCGCCGCCGCCGGGTGAACGCAGCTGTGGCGCTCTGCGGGGCGGGATCAGGACTCACGGCTGTGTCTCTGTTAGGTACTGCCTGCTGCGGACCCTGAAGCAGGTCCAGAGTCAGAGGGAGATGCTGCTGGCTGCGGGGAAGGAGCCGCTGTGGCACGGTCGCACCCAGAACGAGCCGGCCCATTACTGCAGCGTCTGCGAGGTGAGCCCGGCCCAGTTCTGTCTGTGGATCCAGGAGGGGGGCGGAGCTTGACCGAGTGTGTTCTGCACAGGTGGAGGTGTTTGACCTGCTGTTCGTGACCAGTGAGAGCAACAGCAGGAAGTCTTACGTGGTCCACTGTCAGGACTGCGCCAGGAGGGCCAGCGCCGACCTGCAGAACTTTGTGGTTCTGGAGCAGTACAGGATGGAGGACCTGATGCAGGTCTATGACCAGTTCACCCTGGTAAGACCTGGAGAAGGAGGCTGATGAGGTTTACCCCCAGATCCTCCGCTACCATACGCCGTGCAGAGCGCTCGTCTGACCTGTCAATCAAGGAGGGCTGTTCCACATCCGGGGTTAAAGCCGTAGGGAAGCCGTTCCAATCAGTGCATTCCTGAATTCTCCTGACTGCCCGACTTCACAGGAGTAAATAAAGTGAATGTGATTGGTCGGTTATCAAGGGGGCGGGATTGTTGTGGCCCAAGGCTAACCAGTTAGCAACTTAGTGCTAGCAGGTTCCCAATGGGAAATTCCATTGGGACCAAGTAGCACTAAATTGGTGACTTAGAAACGACGCTGTCAAGGAATGCTATGGACAGAGTAAACACGCAAGAGGAGGAGAGTTTAGTGTCGGAGGTCGTGGATGAGTCTCCTCCATCATACATTTTTTATTTAGAGGAGGAAAGCGGGGACGAAGATGTTGTGGAAGAGGACGCCAGGGCGGCAGAAGCTTGGTTTGGTGTAGAAGGCTTCTAGCCGTACATGTTTGAGCCCTTGCCTCGCAACGCTGCCAGTTCTGGTAGCTCTACGCCTGCCGAAGACACAGACGTCCATCCCCGTGAACACTGGGACGCAACTCAATGGGAAAGGAAAGGATTCTGGTTTCAACCGTTGCGTATATTAGCTGCGACAGATGAATCAAGATGCTATGACTGAACAAATTTGATTGACAGATGACCGTTGATATATGATTGGCCGAATTTAGGTGTTCAGGCAGATGTAGAACTAACTGGCCTGTAGAAGATAACGAAAGAAAATTAAGATTTTAAGACAGGATTTTTATTTTAAATACAAATTTTCTAACTTTTGGGACACTGGTCTGATAAAGAAAACATTTATATACACATTTAAGGCAGAATGATTTGACATGTACATATGATTTCCCTTCCACTTTAAAAGTTTCATCAAATCCAGTCAAGTTGCAGATCTGGAGGCAGAGATGCTGAGTTTGCAAGTAGAGTAGGGCTGCAACAACGAATCGATAAAAATCGACTTTTAAAAGCGTTGGCAACGAATTTCATCATCGATTAGTTGTGTCGCGCGATTAATGCGTCATCCGCCACCGCCGTCATCACTGCCACTTGACTGAAACGGGGGAAGAAGAAAAAAATACGGCAGAGGGAGCCAGCGCCACAGGAGCAGTGTTGCCAACTCAGCGACTTTGTCGCTATATTTAGCGACTTTTCAGACCCCTCCAGCGACTATTTTTCAAAAAAGCGACTAGCGACAAATCTGGCGACTTTTTACGGTGTCACTGGCGGCTTTTGGAGACTCTTACGTGAAAGCATATATCGTTCCTACTCTGCCGTGGGGCGCCTCCCCCATCCCAACCCCGCTCTCCCGCAGGAGTCCCTCTCAGCGCTGCAGTCAGAGCCGCAGGATGTTTACCCTCGGCGTCCAGACTGCAAATGAAGCGCGCATGCGCCGGGATTGACGGCGCAAATTGATCATAATAATTAAAGTAGCCTGCGCTTTGTAAAGTGAAAAAAGTGATAACATGCAACTTTTGTAAAAACAAATGAACATGGCACGGAACCACCATGTTTGTTTGGTTTTAAAGTGGGGAAACGTAACGTTAGTTTCTCAGGTAGCTCATCTGATGCTTTCCTTACCGTGTTAGTAGGTTACACACAGTGATAAGGTTGGCTACTTATTTTACTTTTAATTTAATTTGAATTAGCTTAAGCAGCGTTTATATTTTCTTTATAAATAAATTAACTTGCAAATTATGAGGGCAAGGCTTTTAAAGTTTAAATCTTCTGGCGAAGATAAAGTAAAGAAGATCCTGCAATTTATGGAAGTAAAGCAGAATAAAATCCAGCAAGATCAGTAATATGTCAATTAACTCTTCTAGTCTAAAAATAAGCTCATTTGTTGAAATGGGGGGGCCTATTGTTTGAACCCCTTAGGGGCTTTAAAAACAAAAATGTCTTTTTTTGCGCTTTATGAAACAAAGTACCCTATATTTTGTGGATGTACAGCTACATTTCTCATGTAAGTTTGCGTAGTTTTAACACAAACATTTATTTTTCATATTGCACCAGTACAGTTAATGAGCAACCTGTACTTGTGTGCTTGTTTGTTCTGTCTAAAATGTTTATTTTGGAATAAAGAGGTTAATATAAAAAATATTTTTTGTCCAATTCATCGATTAATCGAAAAAATAATCGGCCGATTCATCGATTTTTAAAATAATCGTTAGTTGCAGCCCTAAAGTAGAGAATAAACAATAATAAAAAAAACAATTTTCTATCATCCTGTTTATCCACAACAAAAAGAAAATATTTGGGCAGAAACCGTAAACATGTCTGCTGGTTGCTGATTTGGATTTCTTTAATATGTCGTTCATTTCCGCACGTCTCTCCTATGAATTTAATAATAATAATAAGGCGCTGCTCTCCTCGATCTGTGGGGAAGTCGGAGCGGAGCAAGAATCCAGTTCTGGATCTAGACCAGGCCTTTCTGTCACATGGGCGCCTCTGCAGGGTGAAGGTGGAGCTCCATGCTGCTCTGTCTGTTTTCACAATGAACAGTCAGATAAACATCAATCAAATGAACATTTTGTCAGATAAAACCACCAAACCTCCTCTGACCAGACGTTTAACCAGACGCTCCAATATTCCCGCCCATTATTAGGCCGTTATGACCCAGCTGTGTCACCGTAGAAACGGCGGCCGCTCTGACTGCAGCGCCTCAGGTCACCGTCTCTTTGTTTCCTCCACAGGTCGGCGCGCTGCCTTCCTCCTGATGGACCGACCTCCTGCAGACACGGTAGAACCACACTGGACCCCCCGGCGTCCTTCACTGTGTCCCGTAGCGATCCCACAGGCAGCTGACTGAGCTATGTTTCTATGCAACCTGCCCTGAGCGCCGCCGCCCCCCGGTGGAGCGGCCGGGGATGGCGGCTGCTCCTGCCATGACCAGACTGTTCTGCTGCTCCACCAGAACCCCCACCAGATGAAGCCCGCTGAAGGTTTTGTACGTATGACGTTTGAACAGAGCGAGTCTCCTGCAGCGGTTCTGGTTCTGGGCGGACCCGGACTCGGGTCCCTCCAGGAACGAGTGCTTAGCATGTCAGGAACGCACAGACACGTAATATGAAACCTGAGCGACGCGGTTCTTTCCTCACCGAGGAAACGGCAGGAAAAGGTCGACTGAATCGTTTCTTTTGTATTTGGATGTAAATTTACACTATTTATAAATTCCTATTTATTGCTTGGAAATATTTGTGGATGGAATGCTGTAACTTTTCTCTAGACTTCCTGCCATTCAATCTGAGGGAGGCTGATTTTTCCTTCCGGCTCCTTTATGTTTTCTATAGAAACTGCTGAGTCAGCGTTGTACAGAGACCTGGAACTGGTTTATTGTTGGGAGGATGGTTTTGGCGTCAATAAACAACAAACATCTTTATTTCCGTCTGTTTTCTGCCTTATTGATCATCATTGACGGTGTGGGGGGGGTCGTGACTGAAACTAGCTGGTGGGTTCAACTGGATGATATAGAGCAGATTGGAGAAGGTCAGGATTCAGTCAGAATGACGCCACTGGACACTTTAAACAGAGGCTGCTGTGAACCATGGTTATCTCTAAAGAAACACCTGCAGTCATCATTACACTGCACAAAGATGGCCGAACAGGAAAGAGAATGGCAGCTAGAGAGATTGCTCCTCAGTCAGCAATCTATGGCATCATCAGGACCTTCAAGGAGAGAGGTTCCATTGCTGCCAAAAAGGCTCCAGGGCGCCAAGAAAGACCAGCGAGCGCCAGGACCGTCTCTGAAAAGTGTTTCAGCTGCGGGATGGGGCTGCCAGCGGTGCAGAGCTTGCTCAGGAATGGCAGCAGGCAGGTGTGAGTGCATCTGCACTGTGAGGCGGAGACTCTTGGAGCAAGGCCTGGTCTGAAGGAGGGCAGCAAAGAAGCCACTTCTCTCCAGGAAAACCATCAGGGACAGACTGATATTCTGCTAAAGGTCCAGGGAGGGGACTGCTGAGGACTGGGGGAAAGTCATTTCCTCTCAGCAATCCCCTTTCCCATTGTTTGGGACATCTGGAAAACAGCTGGTTGGGAGAAGACAAGGTGAGCGCTACCAGCAGTCTGGTCTCATGCCGACTGTAAAGCATCCTGGAACCATTCATGGTGGGGTTGCTTCTCAGCCAAGGGAGGCGGCTCTCTCCCAGTCTGACCTAAAAACAGCCATGAATAAAGAACGGAACCAGAATGTCCTCCCAGAGCAACTTCTCCCAACCGTCCCAGAGCAGTTTGGTGATGAACGATGCCTTTTCCAGCATGATGGAGCACCTCGCCATAAAGCAAAGCTGATATCTAACTGGCTCAGGGAACAAAACAGAGAGATGTTGGGTCCATGGCCTGGAAACTCCCCTCATCTTAATCCCATTGGAAACTTGAGGTCAATCATCAGGAGACGGCGGACAAACGAAAACCTTCTGACTAAATGCAAGCATTGATGGAGCAGAATGGACGCTATCAGTCAGGATTTGGTCCAGAAGCTGATTCAGAGCAGCCAGGGAGAAATGTCCTGAAGAAGAGGAGTCAACACTGCAGATACTGACCTGCTGCATGAACTCATTCTGTCATTAAAAGCTTTGGTTGCTCAGAATATGATGCAATTGTATGTCTGGATGTGATGCAACATCTGACATGAACACCAGAGGGCAGCAGATCAGGGGAAAATAGAATATTTGTCTCAATACTTTTGGCCATGGCTGTAGAGGGACCTGCTCCAGCAGCAGAGTTCATCCCTCTGATTGAAGCTGTGCAGCGTAGCGACCGACCTGCAGCTTCTGGAACCCGGGGCTCTAGGCTGCTTCCACGTTTTCCGACGCTCGTATTGGACGTCACCAGGAAGAGGAAGAGCGAACTGCAGCGCTTCAGTCTGGATGATGGACAGACCGGGCTTTTATTCTGAAAGTCAGGAAGTTTGTTTGCATTTCAGTCAATATTTGGCTCCAAACAGATCATTTCATTTGCCAACTAACTGTTTGGTCTTTACAGTTAATGTTTAATTTAGAAATAATGATTTAGTTTGGGAAAATATTAAATATAAAAACTTAATATTTGATTTAAAAGCTAAATCTGTAGTTTGAAAAATAAATATTTGCAAAATAAAAGGACTGGACTGAAACGTTTTATTTGGGACAAAATATTTCAATGAAATCTAAATATTCTGTTAACTTAATATTTAATCTAGAGCTTCTACAGATTTTGTTTGCTAAACTTGTTTTTAAAGTGGCTCTAATCAACTTTCAGTTTTGGTCGGCTCCCCCTGGTGGACAAAAGCTGTATTGCTTGAAGGAAGTCAGCATTTCCCATGAGGAGCAGCAACCTCCTGATCTCCCGCAGTGGGACTGATCTACGTTTCTGTTTCCAGTGATTGAATCATGATGATGATGCTGAAGATAAGAAACATTCATCTTTGGTTTTTACTCTATTTCTACAACATCTGCTGCTACACACTGAGCCAGGAGTACCTTCTATAGAAGAAAGGAGGAAAAGGTAGGAGCTGCTTTAGGAGCTTCATCTGGGAGAGAAAAGCAGAGCGAGGCTGATTGGTCAGAGCGGCGCTGGATGGGAGAGAAGGAGGAGAAAACTGGCTGTAAAATAAAAACCAAACAATGTAGTTAAATTTTTTTTTAATCAATAAATGGGAATAAAAGTCTCATCAGTTCCACATGCAGGCAGCAGGGCTCATCTGGATGCTTCAGCAGCAGTCTGAAGGTTCTGTGGCCCCCCCCAACTAATGGCCCTTGGGTTCTGTGGCCCCCCCAACTAGAACCCCTGAGCAGTTGGACCTTAGCTGTAAAGTTGGCCTAAAACAACTTAGTGAGAAAAATGAAAATGTGTTAATGTCCAACAGATGGCGCCACACAGTTTTTATTTTAATCGGCCATGTTTTGATGTATTGTCTAATATTCCTGCTCTGTGTTCGGCCTCATGGTCTCCAAGAGGAGGAAACAGAGCTTTCCATCACTGTGCATTCTGACCGTTCTAGATCTACATTCCTGGAATGTGGCTGCAGCCAATGACATCTCATTTATAAACATGCTCTGAATAAATGCTTCAATAACTGGTATTCTGATCCCACTCTTAAGACGGTTAGCGGGAATATTCTGTTCTAAGATGACAATTTCTATAGAATCTGTTGTCTCTTTAAAGTGTTTGTTCTGATTGATCTCTTTTTAGGAAAGAATAAAGGAGAGAAAGTTTAAAGATGTAAACACACAGATTTCCTTTATTGAGCCCGTTTCTAAATGTGACTAAACTGGAGCCCTGAGATGTTCATCCATCTTAATCCACGGTGGGGCCTCTGCCTGCTGACGAGAGGAGGGGTCCACCATGGACGGGTCTCCAGTCTATCTCAGGACAACACAGAGACAACCATTCACTCACATCCAAGGAGGATCTAGAGAAGCCAATCAACCTAACAGTGTTTTTTTATTGTGGGAGGAAGCCGGAGTACCCGGAGAGAACCCACGCATGCTCAGGGAAAACATGCAGAATCCATGTAGAAAAACCCTGAGCTGGGAATCGAACCCAGAACCTTCTTGCTGCAACTGTCCCTTTGTAAATGATCCAGAATTATTTTGACATTTTAGAGCAGTTTTAACAATAAGATTTTTAGAATAATGCCAGATGTTCTTAACTAGGAAATATTTCAGCAGAGAAAGCAGGGAGTGCAGCTACAGAAACAAACAGCAGAGGGTGCTGTTGTTCCACTTTAACTGGAACGCCTGCTATAGATTCTAGAAAAAACTCCCAAACCTCAAAGCTGTTCTAGTTCTGTCCTTCTATGGCTGCAGCATACATCCCCAAAGACCTCAGCTCCTCCTGCTCCTCCTCAGATCAGCTCCTCCTCAGACCTCAGCTCCTCCTGCTCCTCCTCAGACCTCAGCTCCTCCTGCTCCTCCTCAGATCAGCTCCTCCTCAGACCTCAGCTCCTCCTGCTCCTCCTCAGACCTCAGCCCCTCCTCAGATCAGCTCCTCCTGCTCCTCCTCAGACCTCAGCCCCTCCTCAGATCAGCTCCTCCTGCTGCTCCTCAGACCTCAGCCCCTCCTCAGATCAGCTCCTCCTGCTGCTCCTCAGATCAGCTCCTCCTCAGACCTCAGCTCCTCCTGCTCCTCCTCAGACCTCAGCCCCTCCTCAGATCAGCTCCTCCTGCTCCTCCTCAGATCAGCTCCTCCTCAGACCTCAGCTCCTCCTGCTCCTCCTCAGACCTCAGCCCCTCCTCAGATCAGCTCCTCCTGCTCCTCCTCAGATCAGCTCCTCCTCAGACCTCAGCTCCTCCTGCTCCTCCTCAGACCTCAGCTCCTCCTGCTCCTCCTCAGACCTCAGCTCCTCCTGCTCCTCCTCAGACCTCAGCCCCTCCTCAGATCAGCTCCTCCTGCTCCTCCTCAGATCAGCTCCTCCTCAGACCTCAGCTCCTCCTGCTGCTCCTCAGACCTCAGCCCCTCCTCAGATCAGCTCCTCCTGCTGCTCCTCAGATCAGCTCCTCCTCAGACCTCAGCTCCTCCTGCTCCTCCTCAGACCTCAGCCCCTCCTCAGATCAGCTCCTCCTCAGACCTCAGCTCCTCCTGCTCCTCCTCAGATCAGCTCCTCCTCAGACCTCAGCTCCTCCTGCTCCTCCTCAGACCTCAGCTCCTCCTCAGATCAGCTCCTCCTCAGACCTCAGCTCCTCCTGCTCCTCCTCAGACCTCAGCCCCTCCTCAGATCAGCTCCTCCTGCTCCTCCTCAGATCAGCTCCTCCTCAGACCTCAGCTCCTCCTGCTCCTCCTCAGACCTCAGCTCCTCCTGCTCCTCCTCAGACCTCAGCTCCTCCTGCTCCTCCTCAGATCAGCTCCTCCTCAGACCTCAGCTCCTCCTGCTCCTCCTCAGACCTCAGCCCCTCCTCAGATCAGCTCCTCCTGCTCCTCCTCAGACCTCAGCCCCTCCTCAGATCAGCTCCTCCTGCTGCTCCTCAGACCTCAGCTCCTCCTGCTCCTCCTCAGACCTCAGCCCCTCCTCAGATCAGCTCCTCCTGCTGCTCCTCAGACCTCATCATTCAGGATCACAGGCAGTAAAATTTGAACTCCTCAGAGCCGCCACCTGTCCGGTTCTGAAGTCCTTCCTCTGGCTCCCTGTAGTTCAGACTTTAATCCTTCTGTTAGTCTAGAAATCAGTGAATAGATCAGCACCTCAATCCATAACAGATCTGTTATCAGTGGATCTACCTTCCAGACCACTCAGGTCTTCTAGTTCTAGCCTCCTCTGTACACCCAGAACTAGAACCAAACATGGAGAAGCAGCATCTATGCTGCATGGATCTGGATCAAAGAGCTGAAAGCCTGAGATCTTTGAAGTCAGATTAAAAACCTGTTAGTTTAGAGCTGATGGAGATAAACTGGTAACTGAGGGAT